CTCGCTAGTCGCATGTTGCGTTAACTTGCGTGAAAAATAAAGGCTGTATAACTAAAATAAATGCCCCCCAATGGCACAGCGGTATGTCTGCGGACTTACAACGCTAGAAACCGGGTTTCGATACCCGTGGTGGGCAGAGCACAGATAGCCCTTGTGTAGCTTTGTGCATAATTAAAAAACAACAACAACAACAACTAAAATAAAGTATTGAAAGTCGTTTTATACATGACATTAAACATACGTTAATACTGTAGTTAAACAATAATTTATGAAACTTTTAAATCATTACAAAATATCTATAAAAGAGACCTGTGTATTTGAAAATCTACCCGTCCCTCAATGGTCCAACGCTAAAATTCAAGGCTCGATTCCCAGTGGTAGACAAAAGTTCAGATATCCTATTATGTACCTTTGTACTATATGGAAAAACAAAAGCTCATGTGTAAAGTTAACTCGCTAAATTAGCAATAGACTTATCACTGAATAAATAACAAAGTTCGTCCCGAATAATAATATTAAATATAGTGAACAAATACAGTTGAGATATCGAATATGTAACAAGAAAAGGTAAACAACTTCATGTAGTTAATATTAGACGGCTTTAGGCTTAACGTGTGTTTACACCTGACGTAAGACTCAGAGCTAAAATGAGTGACTCTCCTTTTCTTAAAACCGTTGATGAAAGTGTAACAGGTTAGTGAATATATAATAAGTGACTTATTAACTTAGTTCAATAAATTGTCATTAGTTTCAATATTACAATTAAAATTCATATTTGTAGTAATACTCTTCAAAGTTCTATAACAATTTGCAGTTTACACTTGCTACAACTTGTGCAAGTTTCAACTACTGCTACTAGTTCAACTGTAGCCAGGCTAGAAAAAATAAAATTTAAAAAGTGATAATTAATGGATACGTTAACACACAATTACGTGGAAATATTTTATTCTATGCGACGTTTTAGTCAGGCAGTTTATAAATTTTTTTGTAGTACTGTACAGTACAGTGTATACTGTCTAACGAAGGGTGTCTGCCCAAAATAGTTTTGTTGAGATGTTTGTTAACTCATCCATTATATTAATTAATAATACTTTTATCTTACTAATTTCTGCTTAGTGTTGCAGAACGACAATAACTGTAGACAGTTTAGATAATTAATAAATAAATATATATATATAACTGTGTTTTATAAAAATGTATTCAAATTAAAAATGATGAAATTCTGAAAATTATCAATCTGTAATTTAAGACACCATTATGCAATTTATCTGTAATAGTAAAAATTATTTTATGAGTACAATAAAATATTTATTAATGAAAAAATAGTTATTTAGTTTATATACAAATGGTTGATTTTTTTTATCAATAGATATGCTTTTATGCCTGTAAACAACATTTCTGTATCAGAAATTATCAATAAAATCATTAATCAATAGCACACAGAAAAGTTTTAAGAAATATTCAGTGTATACACATGCTGTGCATTGTTCTGTACCTGACACATCACAAACATCTGATAATTCTGAGTCATAAATCAAGAGTGTCTAGACGTTATAAAGAGGGTCAAGATCAGATAAGAAGGACCTCCCTGTAATTTTTTGGAAGAGCAGTAGACATTTCACAGGTATTTGAGAATTGGAGAGTTGCTAATGTTACTCCTGTTTTTAACTGGGTGATAAGAGCTGCCCAGAAAATGATCTTTATAGGCCAGGTAGTCTTACAACTGTATTGGGAAAAATTATTGTCTGAGAAAATAAGCTTTGCAAAATCATTTAACATTTAATGAAGTGTGATATAAATAAAAGCCAATATGGATTTACTAAAAGGATTATTATCTTATTAATGTTTTTTTGAGAATATTACTGTACTTGTTATCTTGATGATGGAAAGGATGTGAATTTGGTGTACTTAGATTTTGTGGTTCCAAGGAAGTTTGGAGTTTGGAAATCTTTCCTAGACCTGTCTCAGTTCATCTTTTCTTGGCAACACTTCAGTTTAAAATAAAATACATGAGGTTGTTTTGAAAGTTTCTTAGTCATCATCATTGGATGATGTTGGTGGATATAGAGGATACTTATCTTTATGTTCCTGTTAATCCGTCATTCTGTCATTTTCTGTTTTTGCTGTCAGTTGACTACCCACCTGGCTCATTCACAGCTTTACACCTTATTTAATACCAACATAGTATTTGATATATCTGAGGTTTTGGATCAACACAGTTAAAGGAACATTTTTCTCCTATAATTTTGCAAGCCTTGGAATTTTGTGCTTGTACTCTTCTGTCTTTCACACCTACTGCTAAAGACATATCTTCTGTTTGGAGAATGATGGCTTCACAAAATCATTCTCTTGGGATGTGGTAACATATGACACCTCCAATAGGGTCTTGCGTTTCAGTGGCAGTTGTCTTCAGACTCATTGTTTTAGGGCTTTCCCTCTACTCTCAATTTCCTTCAGTTTTGGCTCAGTCGAGAATTTATAGTTCCACCTTATTAAGATCTGCAATCTTCATAGATGTTTGGGGTGTTGTTTTGGGGGAACATCATTGTATGAATTCTTGGTTTCTTCTGTAATCAGAATCTCATATCAGTCTTTAAAATCTTTGTGCAGTTCAGTATGTTCAAAGAGAGCTCCTAACTTTGCTACACCATAACTCTTTTGTAGTTCACACAACTCTTCCACACTGTGGCGTGTTTCAACAATCAGAAGGAACTCAATCTCATTGCCTCTGTTTTGGTGTGGTTTCTTTCATCTTTGGCTCCATTTACATCATACCTTTGTTTGAGCATGTTTCATGAACATTTCGTGGATTATTTTTTCCAGAGTGGACCTTTCAGTTTTTCAGTTGTTGTGCCAAAGGTGTGGTTGTCCTCTGATTGATGCCTTTGTAGCTATTTTTAATTATCTTTTTATGCTTTATTGGTATCCATTTCCAGACCTGTTTTACTTAGCAATGGATGCTTTGAGCCAAACATGGGCAATTTGTTTTTCTCTATGTCTACCTTATGTTTCATCCTTCTTCTCAGATACTGCTAAAGTTTATCATTGAAATGTTGAGTTCTCTTACGATTCTATACTAGCTAACTTAACTGTGGGTTCCCCTGTCTGCATCTTCTATCTAGAGGGAATCTTATTTAGCTACCTCTTTGGAGACACCTTCTATACCAGCCTTGAATCCATCTTCCACAACAATGTCAGTTAAAGCTTCAGGGCTGGCTGTTATGGAGACACCTTCTATACCAGCCTTGAATCCATCTTCCACAACAATGTCAGTTAAAGCTTCAGGGCTGGCTGTTCCACACAATGTCTATACCAGCTTGAAACCATCTTCCACAACAATGTCAGTTAAAGCTTCAGGGCTGGCTGTTATGCAGTCCTTTGTTACAGAAGCCAGATTCTTTTCTTGAGTAGCTCCAATATTATCCATTTTTTGCTGAGGTTCATCCCTGACAATCTACCACTTCAGATGGTATATGTTCAGCAGTGGGTGCCTTAGAAATTGTTTCTTGTCTTTCATCAACTTCTCAACAGATTGTCTTATTCTTCATGTCCTTTTTTTTATTATAGTGGATTATCTGCTACCCCTGTTACAGGCTATAGTTCTGCCCTCTGCTACGTTTAGTTGCTACAAAAGCCATCTCTCTCTCTCATGCCCTCTTTTTATTGATTTTTTCATGTATTTTGCCTACTTTATCCATGAATCTATATCTCTGAATCCCAAATCTTTGTCCTCATGGGACTTATGAGTTGCTCACTATGCCATGTTTCATTGAAGATATACTTTCTTGTTTTTTTGTGTGTTTTTTTCAGGTAGAAGACCTGATATTTATGCCCTCCATGCTTTTTTGAATTGTATTTTCTATGAAGTCCTTTTACTTATGTATACTGTGTGTTGATTAATATAATGAAAATAATCAATTAACTGAAATTAGTGTTTTGATTATTGTTGTTTTCCATTGTTCCAACAATCAATTAATTTAAATTACAATTAAATCTGTTGTCATGAAAATAATAAAATAATCAAAATTACGATCAAATTAATTGTCTTGGAAATAACCAAATAACATTATGGTTTCTGATTATTCACTGTTTTTAATTATTCCAACTGACTAAGTAATTGAAATATTGCTGTTATGTTCATTTATTTTTAAGCAAAAAGCTATGTAATGAAGGGGGCTTGTCATTTGAAGGTCTCGGGTTTGATTTCCATTGCCACTGAACTTTCTCACCCTGTCTTTGTTAATTTAAAGCTACTAAGGCTATCTGCCCTTTCTTTGATCTTGAACTGCTGACTGGAAGGAAGGCTGGCAGCACCCACCACAAACTCTGGCTACTGAAGCATTAAATAAAGTGTAAATTTACTGTGTCTTTTTTACATTGGGTTATGTTTCTAATCTATAATAGCATAATTGTAGTTTTTAGTGTTGTATAAGCAGGCACTGATGTAGGGAAGGAGGGGATCTAGGAGATTCAAACTTCCTTCCATGATTATTTTTCAGTGTTGTTTAAACAGGTACAGATCTAGAGGAGGGGGCCCACTGATTAGTTGATTAGGATAAGCTACTAATTGTGCAGCTTTATTTGGGAGCGGATGTGCAGGCAGTCTTGAATCATCAAATGGTCTTTGTTGTCCATATGTTATCATATCATGTCTTTCTGAGCTCTTGTCCTTTCTAGTGAAGACTTTTCAAGAAATTTGAATCTGTCACCATACTATAATCTCTTCAGATCTTGAATAATCCTGGTAACTCTTTTTCTGAACCCTCTCTCTTATGACTCAACATCCTTTCTTAAATATGGTGACCTACAATGGAACCCTTTATTTTAAGCTTAACTAGTACCTTAGAGAGTGAATTGATGACCTCTTATGACTTGTATGCCATATTTCTAATGAAGGTATGCACCAATGGTTGCACCATATGAGCATACACTTAGCATCTTCAGTGCTTACCACTTTGCTTCAGTCCCCAAGGTTTTTACTTGAGTACTTGCTACTTTTATAGTTGTTGTGCAACCCCACTTTCTGTTGATTTCTATAAACCAGGAATTTTCTGCAGTTCTTTCTGTTTCCTGTGCTTAAGTACTTTTGCACTTCCTCATCTCTCCATTGGCCCTCCATAATGAGGTCCATTATTTTATTATCTTTGTAGATTTCTTTAGGCCTCACAAAAAGTTATTTGACCAAAATCAAAATATTGACTTCATAATTATTTGAGAAACATGTTTAGAATATATAGAACTCTTATTGCCTTTTTGGACAACCTGTTTGGTCAGCTAGTTCTTTGACTATTTCTGTATTTGCAAGCAGTCATCATAGCTGTAGGACATATTGTACTTTGAGATATGATGAACATACTGTTACGTCTCTGTTCGTTAGTTAATTTTCCGTATAATTTCTTTCCGAAGAAACTTTAGTGATACAAGTCCTTTCTTAAATAAAACTGGTTTATTCTTTCTCAATACAACTTTGCAATACACTTAATTTCCACAGTCACGCTATAACAAACGCTATAATTCACAACGAACGTCTCACGTGCTCGACTCAACAATATGTCTCTCTCTGTCCGCAGTTCTATTACACATTGTTGCCGTCAGTTCTTGGCGGCTTATATACATGAATACCGAAATCTAGTAAATGCTTGAGCATTCATGAACCTTCGAGAATATGATGTGTTACTAGCGTCACGTGACCCCCACTGTCGTAACAATACTAATAAATGCATCAAAATGTCGCACTCTGGGCAGGTTTTCTATATTTATCCTATCCTGACTGCATAATTCATTTTCTCTTACAATGCTTTCAAATGATTTTCTTGTGTTTTGTTATTTGATACTGTTCTTTGACAAATATGTAGTGTTAACTAAGTTTGTATTTGATTTAAATTTTATTTTAGGCTCAGTTTTTAAAGATCTTCCATTGTCAATATTCAACCAAGATGGAATACTAAAGGTATGAGAACATATTGATGTTATTGTAGTATTTATTGTTCTGTTAAGTTTAGTTTCTGTTTAAAGTTTCATAACTGCAATAAAAACAAAATATGAGTACGTAACATAGATAACAGTTACTTAGTAGTTGGGTGTCATGTGTTGAGTAGATTTATAGTCTCAGTTTTTATAAAAAATACCTGAAACCCTAGTTACTTTAAATTAAGATAAGTACTGGATCTTTGAATGTTTCACTGTTGTTATTCTTCCTAATTTATGGGGTTCTTTTGTTTCTGATTATAATATGTTATATACGTGTTAAATCACTGTTCTGCAGTTTGACTTCCCTGTTTGTTATATAAACTACATCTCCACTCTAGCCTAATGAAACTACTGGTAAATCAGTTTAAGCTTAAAATGTTACATAAAATTTACTTGTAAGATGTTAGTACTAGTTCTCTATTTTTCAAACTAAAGATCTGTTTGTGTAGACAAGCTTCAAGGAATAGATGTGAAGATATGGGCTGTAACTTGTGTTGGAACATCCAGTAACCTTCAGACTAAAGATTCTGGGATGTCAAATTACAAAGACAATTTTGAAAGCAGCATCAAGTGCCACAGTTGAGATGTGTTTGGGCCTTTTTAATTCCCTACCACATGTTTAACACATGGAAAACATTGTCAGACAAGTACTACATACACTCTCCAAATGGGCTCATTATATGAGAATATATTTCAAAATTGCATGAGGTACAGAAAAAAGATGTTAGAATTGTCTGGCATCCACATCAGGTAGGGTACTTGCCAAATTAGTGGTACAAGTCATCAGATCAGGAGTGGCAGAAATGTTTGAATTTTTATGTAAAAAAGAGCATTCACCATTTCAAGGATGTCAAGAAACAGTCAAATTTCTCAGAATTGTTGAGAGACGTTTTGACATGTTAAACTCTGGCGTTCCTAATGCCCACATAACCTATCAAAGAAGAGCCATTGGGATATATTTTGTTCATGAAAGTAACTCTTACTTGAAAAGCTTCATGTTGTAACAGATGCAGTTATTGTAGCATTCAAGATAAATAATTGTTGTTGGTTTCCTGCATTCATAGCAATTGATCCCCATTGAAATATGTTTTAACACACAAAGTTTCTCAGGATCATACATTTTTTTTTTTCCTCATAAGAGCCATGACAGAATTGAATAACAATTCCAACTTATTACAGTTCAGATAAGCTCTACAGACATTTTTTTTTTTATAATAGCACTGTGCAGTGGAAATTTTACAAGCATTGATAGAATTACTTTAGATTCATTGTATGGTGGAATTCTGTTCACCAGAAATATAATTGAAATAACTCTTCGGGATGTCTCAGAAGATTGTGATATACATTTAGTTTCTAATTACTTTGAGATATTGAGTAGAATAAATTTATCAGAGTGGCAGTGCAACAGTTTGTTCACAATATTGTCAAGAAATGACTTGTTCTGACTGCAAAGTTATGTTACTTAATAATCAAGGAAATCATCATCAGTTTGTGTTAAATTGTTAAGGAGAAGTCTATTTATCCTTCTGATATAAAATTATCCTGTTGACTGAAAAGTGTTTGGATATAAGAATGCAAAAAGTAGCCCCATGCATGTCAAACATAATTGTCAATTAAATTAAAAAGTATTTTTTTATAAACTACATATATTTAAATCAATTATCTTATTAGCTTTGAATTTGTGTGTGAAGGTTTGCATGAGTCAGAGTTGTACAAAACTGCTTATAGTTTTATAGCACTTAGGCTTCAAAGATATGGGAAAAAGTATAATTTGAAAGCAACCAATGCAAATTTTATTTCTCTGACATACTAGTTGAATGAGGTAATTTCCTTAATAATTTTTAATCACAGCATTTTTTCAAATGAAAACAGATAGTTAACAGGTTTAAAATATTGGTAACAAACAAACATATTCACTTGATGCTTCCATTTCAAAGTGGTATTTTGTTTTTGTCAATAACTGAAATAGTGTGCTGTTTTGACTGCTAGTTGGCTTGTATACATAAAATCACTATGTAATACTTGATATAGTATTATTATTACTTCCTAATCCATTCAACAACCCAATTACAGTGTAAGCTTTTATCATCGCCAAAATCTTGACTATGCTATTATGATGATGATAATAATTGAATATAAAAACATACGATATATTTTAATGAAAATATATATACTAACCAATATTAAATTTGTCATGAAAAATTTCTTTCAAAATTTATAGTGGAGCTAAGCTAATAAACTTGTCTTAATACTTTTAAAATGTTAGGAAAAATATTATCAGTATATATGTTGTGTTTCTGCGAACAATTTGCAAAATTTGACAGGTTGTAAAACATTATACATGCCATCTGATTAATTAGAAATGATAAAAACAGTATACATGATTTTTAAAAATAAGATATTAAATTTGTGTGATAATTATCAGTTTGCAGACAGTTAAAAGTATTAGTTGTTACCTTGTTCATTATATGTTCATTTGTATGAGTGGAGTCCAGACAAAAGTACATATAGTTTAGTCATCTGGCTTGTACCTTATATTACATAAGCTGTCTCTCCAGTATAAGATATAGTTCAGTGGTAAAAATACTGTGACAAGAAGTAGGGAAAAAAAGTTAGAATAAAAATTCAATACAGAATAAAAAAAAAGTAATAATTATGTATAAGAAACAAATAATCCAAAAATAGAATAAATTCTGTAGTAAATGGAATAGAGAAACTAGTTTCGACACATTCGTGAATCCGCTTCATTCTCACATTGTCTTCTGGCAGGAAATAACTGGTCAACAAGTGCCTATGTGACCTCTGATCTTGGAATTCCCTTAAGGAGGTCAGGAAGTTTAAAGTGATGTTGGGAGGTGTTGAAATTAGACTGTTTTGTTTACTGTGGTTTTTTTCTCTAATTGCTGTACACAATATTGTGTTCTTTTATTATTAAAATAAGTTCTGTTGAAAGAAAACAAAACGTTGAATAGTAATAACAATGTGGGTGAAAAAACGAAAGCATGATTTAAAGAAAAGAAACTTTTATTATACATACCTATTGTTTCTGAGAGTATTTATAAGTAAATTTTTGTTTTACTTTGTACATCTATTTTCGAGTATATAATATGACTACAGTTTTAGACAAGTTGGATTTTGGAAAAATTAAACTTCTAGAGGCATTTTTAGTGAAAAGTTGGCAGACTTTTATGTATGTAATTTGATTGTACTGAGTCTGAGTTTGCTGTCTGCCAAGCCATATTTTGATTTCCTAACTTTTAAAATGCTGAAATAAAAAACAAAATGGTTACCACTGTGTTAGTTTCAAGGCTGTAATCACATGGTTAGATCAGAACTGCTCTCTTTATTTGAACCTTAAAATGTGTAGTTCAAAGTCATTTTAGTCATATTATTTTTGTAATTGCAAAGGTACTATAGTGACAGACAGTTTGTAGAGCTATCTATCCAGTATAATGGACTGGTCATATGATCAAAATGCCCAACCATTGTCTCTCCAGGAAGGTCTTGTATGGTGAGCTGAGACAAAGAAAGTGGAACCATGGTCATCCCAAAGGTACTATAGTGACAGGCAGTTTGTAGAGTTATCTATCAAGTATAATGGACTGGTCATATGATCAAAATGTCCAACCATTGCCTCTCCAGGAAGGTCTTGTATGGAGAGCTGAGACAAAGAAAGTGAAACCATGGTCATCCCAAAGGTATTATGGTGACAGGCAGTTTGTAGAGCTATCTATCCAGTATAATGGACTGGTCATATGATCAAAATGCCCAACCATTGTCTCTCCAGGAAGGTCTTGTATGGTGAGCTGAGACAAAGAAAGTGGAACCATGGTCATCCCAAAAAAGAGATTAAAAGATTTTATCAAGCAAAGCCATCAGTGGTGCAAGATTGCACCTTGTGCTGTAGAGCAGTCAATCCAAAACGGATCCCATTGGCACAATTTGACCACAATGGCCTGCACTCTTCAAGGACAGACGAAACTGCCTGCAAGCTGTATGAGATTGTCAATACAACAGAGCTATGATAAGTTCTACAATGACAGATGTTCCATGTCTCCACTGCATATACCTTAATGCATCAAGAATCAGTTGTGATTTATGTGTTTAGTTATAGTATTTATTTGTATCATTATTAGGTTTTCATTGTGTTCACAAGCATGGTTGTTTGTAGTTAAGCTGGTTGAAACAGAAATGAATAATTATTGAATTAAAAATAGAAAATTTGAACTTCAGAAAGTAATTACTTGCATAAGCAGCTGTAAATGTATAATGTGTTTTAGGATTAAACATAATCATATACAAGCTAACTACAAAGATATTTTGTTAGGAAGGTAATGGTGTTCTGCAGTATTTTAGTTTTTGTTTTCTTGTCAGTTATATGGGCTGCTTGTGTGGATATTCTATCTAAAAAAGGCCTTCTAATCTTGAAAATGTGAGAAGGAACATGTAAACTACATCCCCTACACAAATTATGGCTATGATTAGAGCAGCATGTCCTTTGTTACAGAATAAACTGGGTATCAATTGGTCTCACCAGAGTTTACAACATAAAGTGCCTAATCCAAAAACTTGGTAGAACGGCAGCATCAAGTTCCAACTAAGACTTATTAACTTTCAGTGGTATACTTTTTGTCAATAAGTTATAAATCTGTCTTCCATAGAAAACTGAAAAAGTGTAAATGAGAACAACCAAAACTAAGAGTTATTTTTTTCTTGTATATATAGGACGTTTCAAACAAGTTTGTATCTACATTTTTAAAAAATCGTGTGGATTCAAGACTTCTCAACCTAAAAGAACTCTCCAAGTACAGCTTTCCATTAGAACAAATCAGAGTGAAAAAAAAGAAATGCTCAAAAAAAAGGCAGCAACTCTTAAGTGTTTCAGAGAAGAAACAACTTGGATTATTCAAAATTAATACAAAGAAATTAAAGTAAGTTTTAAGATTTTGCTCTAAAAACCTTTTAAATATAATATGCTATTTGTTAAGTACAGGTGCCTTTAAAGGGACAGGAAATGAAACTAGTCTCATTAATGTTAAATTAGGCATCTTCTCATATTTATTGTGATGTTATTAAATGTAGCAAATGTATTTCAAGTAATACTTACCTGTGTAAACAGTAGTTTTCACTGTGTCATGTTTTATTTGTTTTTTTTAATGATGTATTAACTTTTAATATAGTGTTTTATTCCATTTACTTAACCATTTCTTTAAAGCAGCATTTAAAAGTTTTTTGATACTAGAGACCAGCTCACTGCCTCCCTAAACTGTTGCAGGTCACTAAAATGTAAGTATAATGAAAAATCATTATGATCTACAGATGAGTATTCTGTCAGTTTTTGTTTGTTTGTTTTTGAGAAATCTCACTGACTGGCAAGATATTTGTAACATATTAGTGCTGGTTGATGGACTGAGGGTTGAGAAATGCTGCTTTAATCTTATGGTCACAGGGTTGAACCCATTTTGGCTACTTTTTGTATGGAGAATCATACACAGTTCAACAGTTCTCTGAGCTTTCTTAATATATCTTCACAACAATTGGTAAGATTTTTTTAAAGATTACAAGTATTTTTTTATACAAAGAATGAGATTGTTTTAATTAGGTAATTTAGTTAAAGAATTGTTTGTTTGTTTGTTTTTTGTAGTTATTTGCATTCAGATTCTGAATATTTCAAGTATTATCATCAATGTATAGTGCAGTTAAATGTTTAACACATTGCTCAAGAGCCAAGGGGTGTCTTTACACTACAATTAGCTGAATATTAAAAGTAAGTTCAATCTGGAAACTCCCAAAGAGGGTGGCTTTGGATGTATCTTTTTGAGACAACTTTGAGACAAGTTTTTCTTTGTTAATTGATAAATTTTTAAGTGAAATACAGCATCCTCAAGTTTCCATACTAGCTGGTACTAAGGTCAGTATATATCAATAAAGCCACATTCTCAACATCATTAATTAAGCAATTGCCATCCTTTTATACTTCTGCTATCACCTTTTTATGCTTAGCTTTCAATTGAGATACGAACTATTTCACCTGCAATTTGGTAGGGAAGGTCGAAGCATCACGATAGTCAGCAGTAGGATGAGCAGATAAGAACAATTTGAAAGCAGCTACAGGCATAATATTGTACTCGGTTTGCTGCACAATATCGACCAAGTGGTTCTAAATGGTTTCTGAATACCTCTGCGTGTCATTTGGAGACTTCCATGCTTCTTGGGCTTAGTCGTTAAGCTTGTGATGCATTGATGGATTTCAGTCACCTTACCATTTCAAATCACTTTTCACAGCCCCAACGCTAAAAGAGTATGGGAAATGCCTTCTTTTTAGCCAATAAAAAGGGCTAAAAAATTTGAGGTCAAATTAAGAAAAACCAGATTGGGTAGTATTTTTGTTTTTTATAGCAAATATGTCCCCCACTGGCTTGTGAGGAGCCTGTTAAAATTTAAAATATAGAAAATGTACATACCTTTGAAATTTTTGTTAAATTATTTTGAAAATCTTCTTAGTATGTATTCTTAATTGTAAGTTATTACTTTTTCAGAAAAAGTTTATTTTTGATGTTTTATTTTCCTTTCCTATCCTATAGTGTTATTACTTATCATGCCTTGTCATTACTTATCATCTCCTTGGCATGGATGCCCTCTTAATCCATGTTCATCTACCTGCTATTTGCAAGACCTGCATCAGGCCTCATTTTTTTATGACAGTCTATTTTTGGAGATTTTCCTGATACTTTGGAGTCTCAGGTGGAGGCTGCACATCAACATTCCTCCTTTTCCTCCCCAGTTTCTCATCTTTCCCAAACCTCTCTTATCCCTGTTCCTGTGTCTCACCCCCCTTGCATCCTCTCCAATACTGGTGTCACATTCCCAGATTTCTGTGGCGAGTCTACAAATTGCCAATTGTTGGTGACTATCCTATGGATTCTGGCACACAGTATCTTATCCATTTGGGGATATTTTTCAAACCTACCTCAACAGGGCCCAGTATTCTTTTCATCTGAGGTCAATGGAGCTTTTGGTTTCCAAAGCCAAGTCCTTTCCTTCTGTACCTATGTGCAAGGTTATATTTCTTTTGGGGTGCTGGGCTTCAACGGATGTCCTCGTACCCTGGTGTTGTGCACACGTGCCTTGTATTCAGTGGGTTTTGTACAATCTATGGAATCTCCTTCAAGATCACTTAGACTATACCATCCTCCTCCCTCCTTCCCTATGAATTGACTTTGCCAAGTGGCTCGACAGAGATAACACCTCGGGTGGGATTCCTCTGCCTCCTCCCATCCCAATTTGCACCTTTTTACAGATGCTTTTCTTACAGGGTGAGGAGCATATCTGGATGTTCAGGTGATCTCTGGTTTTTGAATGGTGGTCAAATCCTCACTCCACATTAACTTTATGGATTTTCTGGCAGTTCATTGGACCTTGGATTATTTGCTACCTTCAGTAAAAGATCACTTGGGCATGATCCATTCCAAACATTTGACCATTCTCTCTTACATCAGTCAACAAGGGGAACACCCATTCCTGTTTGCTTTGCTTTCAAACATTGGATCTCCTTTTCTGGGCCCAATCTCAGCAAGTTTTTCTTCTTGCTTGTCATGTTCAGGGTGCTCTGAATCTTGTAGTTGATCAGTTATCTCATCCCATCAAGATTTTACCCATGGAGTGGTCTCTTGCTCATCCAATGTTTTGGTGGTTATGCTCTCTTTTTGGTGCTCTTTTTCTGGATGCATTTGCTCTCAGTCTCAATACCTAACTGCCCCTCTGCTGGTCTTCAGTTCCATATCCTTTAGCTTTGGTGGTGGATGCCTTCAGTCAGAACTGGACCAATCTTTACCTTTATGTTTATCAGCCTGTCCATCTTCTTCCTTGTGTTTTCTCCATTATCAAGGCCATCCCATATTGAGTCCTTCTAATCTCTTCATTCTGGCCTGCTCAACCGTGGTTTCCGATCCTGGACCTCCTTCATTTGTCCCCTCTCAAACTTCTGCCATTTTCCTGATCCCTTCTATATCAACCTCAGTCTGCCATATTTCATCTGCCATCACCACACTCTGGCTTCAAGTATGGATTTTATCCAGTCCCTTGCGAGACAATCCATACTCTCTTCTCTGGTAGCATCCTTTATTTCTCACTTGGTTTGCCCTTCTTCTTTATATGTTTCCCAGAAAAAATTGTGTATTTTCCAGAGTTGGTCTTTGCACCATGGTTTCTCACCTTCCCAACTGAGTGTTTCCCTCCTTTCTGATTTCTTTACTTGGCTGTCAGAGTTTTATCAGTTTCCACCATTGCAGGCTATAGGGCAACCTTGTCTAATACCTTTTGTTTTTCCCGCTCCTGTTGCATTTTTTCCTTTCCTGCTCTTTCTCTCCTATTTCACTCCTTTTGCCTGATTCATTTGGCCCATCTGATTCCCCATCCTGATTTCTCAATGTGGTCCTTCATGCCTTTACCCTTTCTTCCTTTGAACCTTTGCCCACTTGCTCATTATACCATCTCTCCCTCAAGATGTATTTCTTACTGCTTTTTGCATGTGATCATTGTAAATCAGATATCTTTGTTATTGACATGTCTTATATCATAGTTTTCTTTAAGACATCAGCAATATGTAAAGGGGATATCACTTTCACTCCAATCTCTCTCTCCTCTATCTTTCATTTGTATTCCCATTCTGATCCCAATCATCTCCTTTGTCCAGTATATGGTCTGCTTTATTATGTTACCCATGCTGCTTCCTTCTGTGGATCCTGTTCCTGTCTTTTTATACCATGGAATATCTCCTTTACCCGTAATCTTTCTTTTATCATCCTTATCGGCTTATTCGTCTTGCTTATGCATTCTTATCTGAGGATTCTTGTCACATTTTTCAAGTTTTCTCCCACCAGAGATGTCATCTTACCTTTTCCCTGGCTGCACACTTTGTCCAATACATGCTCTGCTTTGTTATGTTGCCCATGCTGCTTTCTTCTGTGGGTCCTGTTCCTGCCTTTTTATACTGTCGAATATCTCCTTTACCTGTGATCATTCTTTTATCACCCTTACTGGCTTATTCATCTTGATTATGCATCTTTATATGAGGATTCTTGTCACATTTTCCAAGTTTTCTCCCAACAGAGATGTCATCTTACCTTTTTCCTGGCTGCCCACTTATGTTCTTCGTTAGAAGAGATTGTACAGGCAGGTATGTGGACCATGCCTCACACATTTATTGCCAAATACCTGCATCATTTGACCATTTCCTCTTTATCTGGCTATCAGTTGCCATCTGTTGCCATTTTCCTTACATAATTTCATCTCTGAAAGGGTAAGTTCTTCCTTTTATTTCTTCCCTTTCCAGTGGCCCTTTTTCCTTCCTGGACCCCATTTTGTGATGAATAGTGCCTATTCAGGTATACTTAAATGTAAATCTGCACCGTACAGTCATACAGGTCTGTATTGTTCACTGAATAGATAAGGTGTTTCACAAGACTGCTGGTGGTTTCCTCGTAGTATCTTGCTTCATAAATAAGACTCACACCAAACTCCACCAACTCATGAACTATTAGGAATAAAGCAGTATCAAGATCACTGGTCATCTCTCTGGTTCTAGTTGATTAAACTGGGACAGGCCTGATTTTCAAAATAGGGTTTTGTGGTCACCCATTGTACTGTCTTATGATTTGTGTTCCTTTGGACTTCTCACCACATTGTTCTCTCCCTCTCCCAATGGAGTATGGGAGTCCTTGTCACTTACCAGTTCCTAGCTGTTGGGGTGGTGGACCATGGAAGCTTCCTCGTGAGTATGACCGATTCCACTCAATCAAGAGTAGGGCAGTGGTAATCTTTTAGCATAGAAGGTGAGTAGTGCCTGGCATGGCCAGGTGGATGAGGCGCTCGACTCGCAATCTGAGAGTCGCGGGTTTGAATCCCCGTCCCACCAAACATGCTCGTCCT